CTAGGGAATGTTTAATCATGCACTTGTGTCAGAAACCAAAAAAAGATTCCCCAAAACATTGCTGTGTCTGATTATTGACTCTATTTCACTACCATTTCAATCAATATTTGTGTTGTTTTTTTATTTCTCACAGATAAAAGATCAATGAGGACAATTCACTATATATATATTTTGATCAATGTAATATGTAGATGTAAGGGGGGTTTGCAAATATGTAAAATGAACTATTTTCATTTCACATCTTGATTATACTTAAGACAAATAGAAAAAATTTCATACAGAAAAAATACTTTAAACTATTTTTAAAACACTTTTAAACTACGGGTCAATTTGACCCACAACATAACAGGAGTGTTAAGCATAATGAAAAATTTCATTTTCCCCTTTGTTGTCTAATCAAGAAACCCAGATACAGTATTTACACATTTCATTTAGCTTGGATCGAGTGCTGTTGCTATGCAGTAGAGTGGGTTTTTTTCWGAGTCACAGAAACGTCTCTTCACGGCTGCTGCCAGGGTTCCCTTCATAGTTTTGATGCCATGGTCCTCATCTGTTTCTCTGCTCAAAAACCTTTCAGCACAGTCACAACAGGAATCACGTCAGAGGCCATAGCTTCAGCGGAGCAAAGTTGTTGCGTTAACTCCTCAAACGGAGCTAATACTCCTACAATCTTTTCAAYGAGTGTCCACTGGTGAGCACTGAGGTTGTCCGGCAACTCATATTCAGACCCAAATACTCCCAAAGCCCGCTTCTGTTCAAGGAGAGACTGGAGCATGTAAAAGGTGCTGTTCCAGCSGGTCTGTACATCTTGCTGGAGTCGTCTTATGGGCTGGTTGAGCTGCAGTTGAATGTCTTCCAGGCGGGAGGATGCCAAGGTAGAATGTTTAAAATGTCCGACAGAAACTACTTCAGCTATGCTTCTCTGAGCCAGAAGCCCCTCATTAACAGCCAGCTGGAGGGTGTGAGCGATGCAGGGTAGGCTAGGAAGGCCAGCTTCACTCAGCGCTTTGGTCATGTTTTTGGCATTGTCCCTGAGCACAACATGAACGGAACTTTTAGGAATATTTCACATCTGAAGCATATCATCAAATGCACCTGCTATGGCAGTGCTAGTGTGAGAACCCCGAAGCTGCTTTGCCTGTAAAACAGCTTTCTGCAGAGTGAAATCTTCTGTTATCCACTGAGCAGTTAAGCTAAAAATAGATAATGGACTGACACTGCTCRTCCAGATATCTGTTGTGAAGCTTAACGCCGAAACGTCCTGCAGTAGACTGTTAACGTGCTTTTTTACCAAGTAGTGCATCTTTGGTAATCCCTTTTCAACTATTTGGTGGCGGCTGGGAACGTCATACCGAGGCTCCAATACATTGAGAAGACGACGAAATCCAATATCATCGACCACGGAAAATGGCTGATCATCCAGGGCAATAAATTCGGTAAGCGCTTCGGTTATCCTTACCACACGTGGATTGTCTGGTGCCATTTTCTCACGTTTCTGGAGAACTTGCTTCAATGTTGGTTGTGTTGCGCTACTGCTAGCACCAACAAACTCTTTGAATTCTTTATCATGTCTTGTCCTCAAATGTTTTATCAAATTGCTGGTGTTAAAACATCCAACTTTCGCTCCTCCCCTTGATAGTTTAGMARAGCACARCAGACAGTCTGCTTGTTTGGTGTCCTCCGTGCTGATTTTAAAATATTTCCAAACCGCCGACATGTTCCTTCTTCTTCTACCGTCATCTTCTTCTGTTATTCGGGGGTGCGGTCAGAAATAACTTGTCAGTGCATTAGCGCCACCGCCTGGTATGGATTGTTGTTTACCCTTAGGTATCGGTTAAGAGTACCGACCGGCTTTTACGAGTACGAGTAGTTGATGCTGGTATCAGACCCGATATCGGTATCGGGACACCCCTACTTTATTGTAATCTGTGCTTTAAATAAATCTTTGTTTTAAATACAATTTACAAAACATGAAAATCTGCAATTTGCATTAATTGTATCTTATATAGCCTATCTCATATCTAACATTCCTTTTTCTACCTGGATTACAGAGATGCATCATGACATTGCCTACAATACACAATGACAGTAAGCATATTTGTATGCTTAACTAAAAATTTTGGGCTACAAAATATATAAAATAAATCTTATTATCTTTTTCAGATTAAATAAGCCTACATCTAATGTTTTGTTTAGTAGATTTGCAATAAGTTCTTTGATTGGAGGAAAAAAAACCTGTGTGATTGGCTGGTGATGTGGTTCATTTACATACAACTTATGTTGCGAGTAGGGCTGCAACGACGAATTGATAAAATCGATAAAAATCGGTTATTAAAGCCATTGGTAACGAATTTCATTATCAATTCGTTGTGCCGTGCGATTTACGCTTCCCTCCATGTGGCGGAGCCATTTACGTCACCCGCAGAGCGTTGTCAATGTTTTGTGGTTTTTTTAAATGTAGTTATATACAGTATTGTCTGACTTTTACTTTTTGAAATAAAGACACTATCAGCATTGCTGTTTGTTTTTCATTGAGTTAAATCCATAAGGAAAATATCAGCATATTTACTCACTCCTAGGCATAAAGTGTGCAGTAACTGTAAGTTCATTTATTAGAAAATCATTTTGGTTTTGTTTTATTGCATTTATAAGCAACGGTTTGCTGTAGCAGGGGATGAGTATTATTTACAGAATAGCACAGAATGAACAACGACAAACAGCAGCTACTTTTAAAAGACGTTACTGCTCCGAACTGAGCCGAGAGGAGCCGGACTCAGTAGTGCAAAAGACTATTTTACTTAATCTGTTATTAATTTTAAAAGACAAATATAGTTTCCTCCTTATTCAGTTTAAATATTGTGACAAGAATTCCCTGTGACTACAAATTCATCTTCAGCTGTTGAGTCTGATTATAGAAGGGTTAATGAATAAAGGAGGCCCAATAATAGGATAGATGTATGTACTGTTAAGCAAAGTTCTGTTCATAAAGCACCCATTTTGTAAACTCTGTTTTATCACTTGTTACTTATAATCTCTCCATCTAGAAATAAGTAGGTTTGAATAGGGTTGGGCATAATCGCATCGTGTGTGATTAATCGTCAGAAAACCATTAATCGATTAATTTTTGGCACTTGACAATTAATACGATTAATGCCAACAGGTAGAATCCGCTCGCTGCTCCTTTCAGCTTCAAGTATGATGAACATTAAAAAAAAGTTCTGTAATTTATTTATCTATCAACACAATTTAAAATTTGATGTATAGCCTGAAGTTTGTAATTTTGACACAATTTGGAACCGATTTTTATGAAGAGCAAATCTTTCCCACTAAATTGGTCATGTGACTATGAAATAAGGGTGTCCAGGGACTCCAGGGGATTAATCGTCAAATTTATCGTTATCGGCTGAATACAACAATTAATCGTGATTTATTTTTTTGCCAATATTGCCCAACCCTAGGTTTGAATGAATACTTTGAAGTTTAAAGATATAAATTCCATATATTTTTTATTATGCGCACAAACTGCCAGAAACAAACGCAAGCCGCGCGACGCAAATACTCTGAGACAATCATGATTTGAGATGGCTCCAGGTTGGCACCTCTGCATCATGTATGAGAAATACACATTTTTTTCAGTCAGTATTTAATACAGCTGACAAAATTAATTGTTAAAATATTTATGATGTGCTTCTGTTTTTTTAATTCAGGAGATTATAAAAAATCCTTCATGTTATGAAAAGACCCTCTTGATTCAAGAGAAAATTCTTTTTTTTGAGAAAATGGCTGCTTTTCAATTAAAGGCACAGTGTGTAGGATTTTTTGTTTTCAGTGACATCTAGTGGTTGAGTGGTTGAATCAT